TTTCTTTATGGGAGGTAGTAGGAGATCGATCCGAAAATTTATGATAAATTTACAGGAATCTTTGGGATTTTTTTCGAAGTTTACATACGTTTTCAGAAATTTACAGGAATTTCCGGAAATTTTCAGAAATTTTTACAAATTCTCCGGAAATTTCCGATGATACTTTTTCTTCGATAGGTTCGGCGGGGGCGGGCCAGGTGCTGGTTGCCATTATAGCTTCTCCCGAGACCCCAATGATATCTTTGCTCAAATGTTCGGAGGAGGAGGAGGAGGTTTCGGAAATAGTATGTTCATGGATGATTTTGGTGGTTTTGTTGGAGGTAGTGGGAGGTCTCCGGTTCGATCCCTGGGGACGGCATTTTTATTGTAATTTATTTTTTCATTGTAGGGATGAATCACCGGAAAGGATTCGGCCGATGTGCGTCTACGCGAGCTCCCAGTCCTGAGATGAAGAAAAGCCGTAAGTTGATAATCGATCAACTGGGCGCGCGCGCTATGTGATTATTATGTCAGGGATTGCCGAGTTCGATTTGAAGTGTTCGTTGGAGGAGCTTTATGAAGGGAAGACGAAGAGGGTGAAGGTGAGCGACGTCATACTTGAATTTCCTGTTGGGAAAAATGTGGTCATCTATAGTGCGTGTTTCAGTTTGATATGCAAATGTGTATTATTTTCCGAGATTAATGAGAATCGATTTGCAATGTAACGATGGCTATGAACATGTATTGTGATGATGAGAGTACCCGTTTGGGACTGTGATGATAGCGACAACTTGTTCACTATCATTTACCCTACAAAATAACACACATTTGCATATCAAATTCACACGTACCCTATCCTCTCCTTAAACCTCACACAGCCCTTTCACTTTACAGTTTATACTACTACTTCTTACTATCGATAAAATATTGACGTAAACTCCAAGGAGAAAGTATTGCTACTTGTATGCTCTATCACTCGTACTATTCTTCAAACTATACCCTACTCTCCACTTCTCATATAGCGCCTTCTATTCACAATCAAGTTTATACTACTACTTCTCGCCACTCGAAAAAAGGAAGTATGGCTACTTCTACCCCTTTACACAGTCATTCCCCCGAATTTATTCGAGTTTCACCCTAGTGATATGAAGAACATATTTCACGACTACTGCATATCACCGCGAATATCGCGTTTTTCACCGAGTTTTACGCCACTTCACGTAAAACGGGTGAAACTCCATAAAAATAGAAATCTGTAAAACTCCCTCCTCCTCGACTAGCACCTCATCTCCAGGCGCACATATCTTCACCCCCGGAATGCACCCCAACATCGCCAAATCGAACTGCCCATGGTGAGTAGGACCATCCGCACCAACAAACCCTGCCCTATCTAGGACAAATCGAACCTGCATGATTTCGTGGTGCGCGCGAAATACTCCAAAACGAGTCCTACCGGCAACTTCTGCAACGCCACATCATGCACCATCTGATCTATAGCTCTCTGAAAAGAAACAGCATCGAACGCCTCAAATAAACATGTGTTAGTAACAATATATAAATTCTAAAAATTTTCCGAAAATTTTCACTCCTTTTTCTACACAATACAAAATCACCTCCGCAGTGTAGTAAAATATGCATATATATCCACATCGTCCCACTGAGGTTTCACAAATTCCAAAGAAATTTTCGAAAATTCTCATTATTTTTTTTTACACTTCTACTCCAATGCGCGTGCAAATTTCCATCTCGCACAACTACTGAGCTCAGCAGAGGAGACCCAACATATTTCCCCTTTCCTTTACTACCTGCATAAAACTGCTATAAATAGCCGCATACGGCACCAACCCTTCTGCAGCCATCCCAGCAGCCATTGTCACAGCGTGCTGCTCGCAAATACCAACATCAAACATCCGATCCAAACCAAACTTCTTCTCGAAATGATGAAGACCTGTGCCTGAAAATATACACATATTTATAATTGATCAACAATGTGGCGAAAAAATTCCGGAGAAAATTTTGCTAAATTCCTCGTCGGAGCGCAAGTCAAATGGAAATTTCCACACCGCTACTTACCAAACTCCTACGCTCAGCTGATTGTCCCAACATTTTCTAAAATTCCCATATTTTTCACCAAAAATACGAAATTTTCCCCCTAAAAACGGCAAATTTGGACGAACACATCCAAACTCCCCAAGTGAAGTCACCTCCCGGCATCGCAGCGGTGATGGCCACAATCCGACTATCCCTCTCAGCAGCTGCTATCAGCGCCTTGGCAAAGACGTCCGTATATGCCATCTTCTTAGGTGCCTTCGTCTCTGTTGTTGGAGGTGCTTCCACCACCTTCGTAGGAACCTCCTTTTTGCCTAATAAAGAGGAGAGAAGTGTCACAACCAGGGATCGATCCCACGACCTTCCGCATGAAAGTCCGCCACACTCACCAGTCTTCACATCAAACTGTGTCACTCCATGCAACTTATCAAGCGCCACCTCAGCAGGCTTATACCCATGCCCCTTCTCCGTCCTAACAATTATCGGGCGAGCGAAATTTACACGCCACAATTTAGCTAATTCCCTCCAAACCTACTTAACGTGGAGTAATATCGGCTTGGTGATCTTGCCCTCATCCATGGACTGCTTGAGATTGCTCAATACAGTAACCAACGTATCCAAACAATGTCCATCCACAGGCCCGACATAGTAAAATCCCAACTCCTCAAACATAGTACCTTAACACGAAACACAGCAAAAAATCTCATCATCAAACTATAATTTTTTCCGAAAAAAATTTCTGAGAAATTTTCCCAAAATTCAACTCCTCAAACATAAAACACAGCAAAAAATCTCATCATCAAACCACCCACTTTTTTTCTGAAAAATTTCCCGAAAATTCCCGAAGAACTAAATTATTTTCCAACTCTAATTCCCGACGTGATCATCACCAACTACCTCTGCTATAGGTCGATAAAAGACCCCTCCCATATTCTTCTATTCGACCAAGACTCTCGGCAAGTTGCGGCGGACACAGAGCTCTGCACCACACTCATAACATTACAAATCGATCATCAGGGCGCGCGCTACTCACTTCACAGCTAGTTTTAGAGTATTCCTCGCATCCTGGAAGCTCGGTGATGACAATACCTGAGAGACCTTGGCAGGGCAACCAAGGCGCCAAAAAGAGTCAACTGACCGAATCGGAAAAATTTCCCCACACCTAGAATCGAACGCGGGACCTCACGTATAACAAAACAGAGCCTTATCCACTACACCATTCCTCAATACCTCCCTTCCACACCCTCCAAAAGTACCTTCGATATCGCGTCCGGGACGGAAGAATCCATCCCTCCCATTTTGCTCAACGCCTCCGACAAAGCTCCCACCTGAAATATTACGACAATTCCTCCAAACCCGAGAACAAACTAACCCCCCCCCCAAAAAAAAAACTATCACCACCACCACTCCGTGCGGGAGTAGGAATATATGTTCTCTTTCCTCATCTGCTGAGTTCAGGAGTTTCTCAAGTGGAATATAGAAATTTACACATAAATTGGAGCGTATTTTTTTCTTTGGCAAATTCAAAAAGTCTGTGTTTCTCGTTAACGAATGAGAGTTTTGAGCTGAAACTTTAACAGGATATAGTTATCATCACGATACATCACACGTTGAGTCGGAAGGGTCATGTTCGGAACGTTAGAAGTGTACAGAATTTCTGCACACTAATTGAGTAAATTCTCCTTGGTTTCTGTGAAAGAAATCAATCTCATTTTTTCCACCAACACATTTAGTTGACCGCGTGCATCCTCTTCCTCGTACCGGCGTATGCACTTCATTGTAAGCAGTCGGCAGAGACACTTGACCATTATCATTGAGAATAACGAGGAATTTCCGCAACTTCAGCCAACCCGCATGGTTCATCGCCTCGTACGCCATACCGCCTACAAACACCAACCAAGTCCACGGCGACATCAACCACTACAAACACGCCGCATTAACACTATAATCACGTTACTGTGTTGATAAAAAAATATGATTTTCATAACGTGAATTGCATTTTCACATGACCTCACTATTGACCACTATCAATACCGCAAGTTTCACTAGTTCACTATTTTCACCAGTGGGAGAATGTGTTTCCTAGAATTTCTGTTAGTGTTAGTGTTCTTAGAATCACCATGATGTGCAGTAATTTTCCCATATGCCCACCAAAATCAACTACATGTGTTGGTCGCACTACAAAAATTCGGGCGGAAAATTTTCGGAAAATTCCCTAACTCCTCACCAATCTACTCAGCTTTGGAAACTGCTCATTATTATTACCAGTGATCGCTCCGTCGCCCACTACCGACACTACAGTGTAGTCGTCCTCAGGAGACAACGGAGGTGTGGTATGACCACCCTCCCTAACCGCCTCATCATGAACGCGCTTCTTATGCTAATAAGAACAACATAATATCCGAGGTTCCACGCTTGAAGATACGAATCAGGTCCACAAAAGGCCTCCCATACTCACATCTCTTGCTATAGCAAAACCAGTTGCTGCGGACATCGCAGTTCCACTGTGGCCCGCACCGAAAGGGTCATAAGGCGATTCACTCCGCTTGGTGAAACCTGACAGTCCTCCACCTTGTCGTAGAGTCGACATCCTCTCACGACGGCCAGTGAAGATTTTGTGGGGATACGCCTGAAAGAATATTCTAAATTAACGTAAACTACGGTATATTATGCAACATTAGATTAGAGTAAATTATGGTAAATTATGGGAAATTATCGAAAATTATGGGAAATTACGGGAAATTATGGTGAATTATAGAGAATTATGGAAAACTATGGTACATTGTGGTAAATTGTGGTAAATTGGGATAAATTACGGTAAATTCTAATTATGTAAAATCATGGTAAATTCTATTTTACGGTGAATTTCTAATTATGGGGAATTATTGCCGTATGGTAAAATTCTTGTTGGTCCCTATAAACTTCTACCAGAATCCATATCTAAACTTCTCTAGTGAGAAAAACAAACATATATTCCAAAACTGACCATTCAAACCCGATAAAAATATGCAGGCAGTGTTCACATTCGAACTACCCCACACATGCACGTTTATAGAGTTTCTGCAGTAGCAAATACTTGGGAAATTTTTTTTCCAGAGTTTGCCCTGCGCGACCTCACTTTCCTTATAACAAATATAAGCCGCAAAAAAGCGATGAGTTTAACTCATATAAAATTCCGCGCAATTTTTACATGTCGCTTCTCCCGACCCCGGAACTACCTGATGACTGACGTCCCATATAAGTTTATCCTTGGGCAGATCGAATACGTGATGAAGGGCGGCTGTGAGCTCCACAACACCCAAATTCGATCCCAGGTGACCTCCTGTTTGCGATACTGATCGCACTAGGAACTAAAATAGAATATTTGGAGAAAAAATGGTATTGATATTTCTAATAAAATGTCGGAAAAATGGCAATGCTGGGGGAAAATATGCAAAAGGTTTAAAAATTTTATGAGCAATTTTCTGAGAAATTCTTCACCATTTCAACCGAAATTCGTATATAAACATAACTACAATTAGCGAAAAAACGTCTGAGCTCAGAAGATATATTCCAACACTGTAAACCTTCTCCCGAAAGTGAACGAAAAATCGTCTATAAAGTGGCGCAAATTATAATGAGAATTATCAACCACCTCGGTTCTACCAAAACATGATACAAAAAATGCAGAAAATTTTTTATAGTTTCAATTTCCGATTCTCCGAATTTCACGAACCATCTCCCTGAAAAGTAGCATCCATATCGATCGCGTGATCGATTATAAAAACTAATATAACGAAAACTATTACATCAATACAGTTCCACCACTTGAACGTGAAGTGGCGTAATATTCCACGTAAATTATAAGACGTATATTTTCGCGACCAATGACGCAATTGTTTTCCGCCAAGTGAAATGTCAACACGAGTGAGACTTTGATAATATCGATCACGTGATCGATTACATCCTCTCCCACCTACCCTTCGAGTATCATTACAAAGATCCTTCAGCTGAGGTAGACTCATTTTTCTGATATCTTCGGGAGACTGCACTTTATCCAAAGTCGGCGTTGGACCATTCATCACCACATCTACGGAGCTGAAACAGAAAAACAATTCTTTTACATATTTAAAAATTTTTCCGAGAATTTTTACGGGAAAAATCAATTTTCACCAGAAAATAACTATACTGATAGCAAACCAACGAAAATTTTCCCAAATTTTCGAAAATTTTTCAAAAGTAACTACACTTTTTCAAAACTTTCCAAAACCGCTCAAAATTTTCACAGCAACCTACTGCTACCAAAAAAAGGTAAATCCTGAGACACTCACAAAAAAAAATTTTAAAAATCAATTTTCAATCGAAATATAATATGTATCACGCGGAAATTCTATATTCGCGAAACCAACTTTCTCGTATAATTTCGCCCATACCAAAATTTCCCCGACTCACGCATCATCGAGCTCCTTCGGTGCGTCATAATCATCCCCAGGCTGTGACACGTCTCGTGACACCTTTCTCGGTGGGGAACTAGTAGCAGCAGCCGCAGCAGCTCGACGAGAGGTTGCTCCCACCTATACATGATATCTTTAGGTTCACTCACGTAAGATTCAAAGTAGGCCCACCTTGCGCATGCGTCCAAGAACTGCCAAAATGCTACTCGCCGCCAACCCAAACGCAGCCAAGCTCGGCACACCACCAGAAATCGGAAGACTGGAGTAAGAGGATGATGATGACGTAACCGGTGATAGGAAAGCGTTCGTTATCGGACCTAAAATGAATCTTACCAAGGTCGACCTAAGATACTCACCAGTCAGCTGCTGAGAACTTGGGTGAACGAAGAGCATCTGACCGACCATCATAACAGACGACAGTAAGAGAGCCGTGACGACTACTGCACCGAGGCGGACCCCAACTTTGATCGTCATAGTAGGTGGAAAGCAACTACGGATCGAACAAGCAAAGTTAGAGCTCAGGAGCTCATAAAAAAACATTCATAAAAGTCTACATTGGACTTTGAGTAGAAGTGTAATAAAACAAGAAATTTGCTCGGAATTTTCGTTAATTCCATAGTTGTCACCAACACATGTGTTCGGATCGTCGTAATCGAGGAAGAATAACTACGGACCGAACAAGCAGTGTAAGAGCTCATATTCGCTGACCTCAGGAGCTTTCGAAACTAAATATAAAAGTCCACACACGACTTTGGGTAGAATTTTACCAAAAACCACCGAGAAATTTCCGAAAATTTCCTAAGAATTTTCATATTGTCATCAACACATGTGTTTGGATCGCCTTAATGGGTATGGACCACTTCTTCACAGATACAGTTTGTCCCATCACGCAAATGCACGCATGCACAAAATCTACACCGTGCGTAGTATGATACCGCAAACTGCCTGCTCGGCAACGTGACTCAAACAAGAGAGTCCAACTAACGGTGTTATATGTTATATATCTGTAAACATATTAACAGCATGTAGTAAATAGTGATATTCATGTAGTATGTAGTAATACTAAATGTATGTACCTTCGGAAAGTCTGGCCAAGATCTACCTGAACTCTAGAAAGGTTTTTCTGATGAGCATATCGCGAGCCTCGCAATGTGCCTCTCCGGCCGAGTCTATACATATACCACCCATGTGAATTTGCATCAGAACATATACCCGGGCTTAGCCGCTCTTTTCGGATTAGCTGTTGCTGAGTTCGCGTCTATACTCCTATACTGGGTATCCGCCTGGTGAAAAGGAGTGCTGCTCGAGAAAAAAATTAAATGTATGTTATATGTATATAATATGTTAACGACAAGGGAAAATATACGCATGAAAAAATAAATCATAGAAAAGGCTAAGATTGAGGTAACTAACACGGCGATATACTGCAGTAGTACAGATGGATCAACACAAACGGAAGGTAATATTTGAACCTAATCTGTATCTTTCTCGGTCAACCTCAAGATACGTCGTTCAAATTCTCTATCGAGAAACAGCCATAACACCACATTCCGGTTATGAATCTTCACCTCCCCACCCAAAGATTCAAATCATGTCCACATTCAACCCAACTCCCATATTAACATAAATCTTTTTAATCATTGTCATACCACTCCACCATCACATCACGAGCACCCCCCCTCAGAGGCCTTTCCGATCCGTTCAGAAGGACCTCCAAAAGGGGTAGTCGTAGTAGGCAAATAAATAACAGTTTGATAACAACTGTGAATACGTTTCATGGCTATCATTGGAGTTTCACCACCCTAGTGATATGAAAAACACCAGTGAAAAACTTATTTTTCGACTACCGAGTAAATCACCGAGTTTCATACCACTTCACGTCGTAAAACGTCAGACACATCAGAATCAACCGAGTCGCCGGTCTCGCGCAAAGACCGATGACTCGATCGATTTCATACAAGTAGACTAGATCAGACTAAGAAGTGACAAAGTTACGGTATAGATTCATTTATCGTCCCCACTCGAACTCCAATAAGAATGATATCTTTATTTTCTCCACCTCTTCCTTCGCGAGAAAGGCGAACAGCAGACAGTTTCCATTCATACGAGGAGCCCAGGAAGATCCCTCCAGGAAAGCACCTGCCGTGAAAATCTCAAAAATGTGGTCAACTGCATGTGTTGGTGACAATATAAAATTCCGGGAAAAAAATTCGGGGAAATTCTTCTTAGTTTCTCTACCCGAATTCGTATGTAAGAACAACTTCTATAATCAGTGGGGAAAATTTATTCCAACGCTGGTCCAGAAAATTATCATCCATATCACAACAGCACGCATGCACATCTGATCGATTTTCAAATTCCCACAATTTCACTCTAAACTCACCTCGGGAGTAATTCCATATCCCCAAATTTATAGTTTTTCTTCTCATTTTCAGTAACCGTTTTAAGACCAACCACCTCCTTATATTCCATACCGTTTCCCTTCCTACTATACCAACGACATGCACATCGCAGATCACCATTCTGAACAGGAAATCACCTATATTATTTTTCCCATATAATTTTCCCGAATCTACATTATTTTCCCTAGAATTTTCCCAAACATATATTATTTTCCTGAAATTTTTCCGGACCTATATTATTTTACCCTAAAATTTTCCCGAACCTATATTATTTTCCGGGGCCTATATATTTTTCCCTATAGTTTTCCCCGACCTATATATTTTACCCTAAAATTTTCCCAGACCTATATCATCTTCCCTAAAATTTCCCCGAACCTATATTACTTTCCTTATAATTCTCCCGATTCTATATTATTTTTTCCCATAATTTTTCCGAACTTGAATCATTTTCCCCGTAATTTTCCCAGACCTATATTATATTCCCTATAAAATTCTTCTATAATTTTCATTTCCAATTTTCCACGTATGACTAGGAACACATTCTCCAATCAGTATCCCATGTAAATGTCATCACACTAGGAACACCATTTTCCCCCAACCTAGAGGACGTTATTTCTCAAAGTTAGATGAACCCCGACTATCAACCAAGCTGACATATGACTACCTTCATGGGGTTAACACGACGTAGGAAGCAGTTCCCGAGTGACTCGTCTTCACTAAGGAGATCCGCGACTGACCTCACCGGCTCGTCGATATCTAAAACCACAAACAAAAACAAGCTTGAGATTTACTATAATACACGACCTACTATGCTAACTGAAGTTTCACCCGTGAAACTATCAAATGAATATCGCGACGTTGAATGTAGAACTTGTTTTTTTGGTATCACGATGAACTCCACTACATTTCTACTATCACTATTTTCATTGCTATATAATATAACTACATTTTTTGAACCGATTTTTTTCTGTTATAGTAACTACAATAGCGTCGGGAGGAATCTCAAACACGGATTTCTCGATGACAACTCTTACCATTCGAATGCCCCAAGAATTTCTGATCATCTCAAATGAGCTCTGACTGCATTGTCCCATACACAGTACATATGTATAATTGACGCAAGATGAAAATTGAGTTTTAAAAATTTCAATTCGGTATAACGTATATTTTCACTTGAAATATACGTTATTTCAGATCGAAAGAAACTCCAACAAACACGTATGAATTAAAATATACAACATAATACATAACATAATAAATAAAATAGATTATTTCATTTCCTGCTTAATACCACTCCTCGCCAACATCTCCACCGCCTGGTCCACAAGGTAGTGCACATACGCCTTGCTTCGCAAACGACTCGGAGTAAAGTATAGAGCTAGGACGCCCTCGACGAGATCAGACCAGGGCAACTGCTGTACCGACATGCTTCAAATGCAGACTAAGATCAAATACAACCGGTACCCAAACGCAACCTCACATACCTCACCGAGTGGGGTTGTTTGAATTATGCACGGAGGTGGGACCCACCCGCGAATTACTCATGTGCCGATATATTTATACAAATCTCCGCATTCCCATCTTTCCGATCGTCGTGATGGTGACACGAATCCACAGTGTCACCATCTGGTACAACTACTCCGATCCATAACGACGATTGCCAGAACTCATAAAAAAACCCAGCTGTACAGCATACCAACTTTTGAGCGGAGAAGGACATCCTCCTACTCATCGACACTTCATTCGAGATGTTCACACCGGCGTCCCGCAGGAATCTGATAAGAATCAGCCATGGGCAATTTCGTGGCGCAGTGACGCTAGACTAATACACAAAGAGTCGTAAAAAGAGGTACACGTTCTACGGTAGAACTTCTACCAATGGAGGGAATTCATCTCCGACAATCTACGGTACTCCCAACACAGAATCGGAAACATTCCCAACACGAATCGATAAGTCTTTGAGTACAACTAGGGAAGAGAGTATTCACACCGAGATACTTCTCGTTCAACAATGTCGATCGGAATCCATCAACATGTTCCTTCTCGCTACCATCACCAATATCAGGGCGATTTCAAGGAAGGTTGGTAACTCGCACTAGGTACCGCAGAGAGCTCAGGCCGAGGATTACATGAAAGAATACAGTCCATCACTTGCGAGATGTTATAATTGGTTTGCTCCGTCCTACTTATCCGACACCCATGCTGAGAAGCAAACCCAAGCTGTTCAAGCTCTCCTCGAGCATACGGCCATGCTTCAAATGGCGTTGCGGACCAATGCTGTTCAAGCAACCTACAGATAGCCTCCACCACGCTTTCACTGAACGTCTTCAAATATTCGCCAGCCATAAGAAAAGCAAATCATCAATACCAAAGTAGTAGTCCATAAAGCTGTCCATGACTTGCCAGAGAATGGAGATGTCCAGGCGGCCCTTGGCATCGAGCCGATCTACTAGGATTCCACACCCTGTATGTAAAGCATGGCCATCCGGTTCTATACTGAGCTCTCCGGCGACCGCATCGGGAAAACATGGGCGCTAGATCAAGAGATAAATCGGTTGCCGCCCTTGCCAAACTTAATTCCACCTTTCCTCTCTACTTGCCGGATCCTTTCAATCCGTTTAAGAACTCTGATACTTCAAGGGTCTCTATCCATGCCCGACCCTCCAACGATGAAACGGATGGGCAGCTGGTCTCATTCAACGACTTGTCAATGCCGTAGTAACTCTCCACTAGAAAGTCGTGTCAGCATCAACCACATCACCTCGGGGGGCCTCACCGAGTAAGAGTGGCGACCCATTGATCAACCTTGACGGAAATAAGCTCAGTATATTTTTGCCACTGCTAGTAACCAATTGCTCGGTAGCAACCTTCGCTGAAGAGTAGTAACGGCCTTAAGCTCAATGCCCTGTCATTGTCCTACACCTATCCAACCGCTTAGGTTCGCTCGTGCTAGAGAAGGTAGAGCTTCTATCTTGAGGCACTCGTCAATGATGAGTCATCATAAAACTGGCCGGACTTCCACGCTACCAAGCAGCACACACAAGGCGTGAAAGAGGACTGATGAAAATCAGGTCTTCTCACTGCTCTGTCTGCTGAGATGAATTCACTCAAGGAACAGTCACTTGATGACTTCCACAGTTTCGTGCAGACCCAAGATAAACCAAGTGACTCGTGCGATGCATCAATGTACAACATTTCAATTTCACGTTTTTGAGGTTGTACTAAACCTGCAACTATCGTAGTCTGTTGTAGTAAACGACGAAATTGCTATCTCGAATGTGGTTCGACCCTATAGTGAGAGCTAACATCGATATACGTACGACTTTCGAAAAATGTAATACAATGGGAACTAATAAAACACACACAAGACCGTTCCCCCTTGATACTACTATTCCAGTCGTCCATTCCAACACGTCCAGCGATCTTACACAATTCCAATCAAAGCCTCAACCGAGCTTGATAGTAGTAGTCCATGAGTAGCCAGCGGAGCTGATGTCAGTGTAGCGGATAGTTGATACTACGTCACTGAACGACATAGGGACATAGAAAGGGATTGGGAAGAAGCCATGTACAAGATTATGGATAGTGGAGAAATAACATATTTTAATATGAGTGCCGACATCATCGTTCGTCCGAAAAGGAGCGTTAAAACGTTCATGCGGTCAACTCACATGCACCGTCAATGTGAGTACATTACGTTCCAATATAGCAGTGTAGCAATCGTCCTACCCCTAACTGTCCTCTTTCTTTCGCTCACGGGTGGGTGTAGCAGGATCGATTAGAATGGCGTGCGCGATATCCCCTGGTTCATGCGTTTCAGCCGTACAGTAATGGCAGTGGATGGCATGAACGATTATACGAAGGACTTCGCAAAACAGGTAAGCACACCGAACTCTCTCTGTTGATCAGCGGGTCGTATGATTTTACAATCTAATGAGCGGCATAATATACGTTTTAGTAATACCACTCCCAAGATTAGAACTTCGGCGTATAGGATTTAAGTATGACATCTTACCACTATAGCATTCGTCTTACTACTTCTATGAGGTAAGTGACTACTACGTCGACATCTCTACTCGACTGTATATTGAAAAAATACAAGGGCTCTTCCGGATACCATGATTGTGTACAGCAATTATCAATATATATCACTCATGTGCACTGGTAGAAGTTTTTACACTTCTGGAGAGACGTTCGAGGCATTCCATTTGTACAATCATAATTTTCAATTAACAACATAACTTTTTCACCCTATACTATGCAAGTGCTGTTCAGTATCCTATAACTCCTTACTAATGAGTTATAGCATACTGAACAATCCTTGAACTCAAAAAGAGCTATCAGTAGTTCGAGTATTGTCTCTTCAGTTTCTGTGGTTGTGCTGTGCTGATCATCGGCCATGATGAATGAGAACACAATTCCACAAAAGTGTGGACGCAACGTATAATCTTAGTTTATTATTACATGCCATGTTCTGCATTGCAACGGTTTCACTCCTGGCGAGCGAGTATATATATGGATCTTTGCAGTGAAAAATGGCGAGGACAGTGCAGCGTGGACAGATTTGGAAGCTTAACTCAGCTCGAAGTTAGTTGATCATGATTTCACGAGTACGATTGTAGATAGAATCTCTAGATTCCATTAACTATTGCCTAGAGTTCCCAAAGGGTTAACAGTTTCACAATCACTTTGTCGGTATTATTTTCAGCGTGATAAAATATGTACATTGTCAACTATTTGCGTTGGTGATACTATGAATATTTTAGGAAGATTTGTTATTGATTTCCATACACTTCAACGCTCGTTCTCATATAAACTCCCGAAATTAGCTTTGGAAACTTCTGAGCCACTCAGGTGAGCAAAACCAACGTATATTCCTACTCCAACACTGATTGTTTTACACTGCTGGTTTCATAACTCATACTCGTGTACTACAACACGTTAGTGAAGTTCAACCCTAGTGATTTGGTACACACTAGTGAAAAGTATATTTCGTGACTGCTGCATACCGCAAATGTCGGTTTTTTATCACACAGTATTGTACTCTAGTTTATGTTGAAAACAAGAATGGAGTTTCACGACCCGTATGACGTGAAGTAGCGTAATACTCGGTGAAAAACGCGATATAAGATATGTTTCAACGTGCAAACTTTCATATCACGGATGAAACTCCAATGATAAACACAACATTGAAAAGGAATATATACACTACTATTGCATATAACAAGTATATGTGAAAACTGCAAGATGCTGCTACAAGCATTGTCGCTGTCTCAATCTCTTCGTAGCACACAATATGTCTACTGGGCGGCTCAGCTGATGAGGTCACGATGAAGATAGTAGACGTCGGCTAAGTAAGGCATTCTCCTGCAGTTATATCGTGTGTAGTGTTATCTCAATGGGCACTAAGAAGTCACAACTCAGTTTATTTTCCATGGCTCACAATGGGCTGTGTTTCATCGACTACTGTACCTGTTGCTCCCGATGATGATGATGGTGGTGAAGTAAAGGCGACCAGAGCCCTCAGGCAGAGTTCAACCCCATGCAGGTGAGCTTGTTAATTCGGAGTATGAAAATCAATATTGGAGTTTCACAACCCTAGTGATGTGAAAAACATATTTTACATTTCATTCTGCGGGAAAAACGTTCGCGGAAATATATACGTCTTACAATTTACGTTGAGTATCACAGCACTTCACGTTTTTCCATTGATTTTCGAGTCTCGAAGTTTCACGAGTGAAAATGCCCAAAGAGATTTAGCACTACTTTGCTTACTTAAGCACCACTTAGTTTGATAAGGAGCAACTCCATCTTCAGGAGAATCATATTCAACTTTATACGTGTTTTCTGTTTTCTATAGCTTTCAATGGAGTTTCACCACCCTAGTGATATGAAAAACACTAGTGAAAAACATATTTCGCGACTACTGCATATCACCCGTTTTACGTAAAGTGGCGTAAAACTCGGTGAAAAACGCGATATTCGCGACCTGTAGTAGTCGAGCAATATGTTTTTCACTAGTGGTTTTCATATCACTAGGGTGGCCGTGAAACTCCAATGTATATTTGTATTTCCGTTCCACAGACGGGAAACGATTGTAAAGAACTCCCAACAAGAAGAGGAACGGCTGAGTGAGGATGACCTCATACACAGGGGCATTGCTTGCGTGAGTCGGGAAGGAGTGGTATGAAATAAATTATATATATTTATTCAGGCCCAAGCAGCTTCTGTTATGAAAGATGCAGCGCGTCGGCAAGAGCAGCTGGAGGAAGCGAAGGCGCTTTTGATGGAAGCCTTGAGTCGACAACAAATTAGGACGACCACTGGAATGGTGATGATGATCGTGAATGTATAGAACGATTATGACCCTATAGTCGGTCTATATAACGCAATTATATAGAACGATTATAAACCTATAATCGGTCTATATAACGCATATATGTAGAACGATTGTGATTCTATAATCGTTCCATATAACGCATATATGTAGAACGATTGTAACTCTATAATCGTTCTATACAACGCAATTATACAGAACGATTATAACCCTATAATCGTTCTATATAACGTAATCATGTAGAACGATTGTGTTCTATAATCGTTCTGTACGACGCAATCGTATAGAACGATTATTCATCCATAATCGTTCTATATAACGCAATTATGTAGGGTTTGGTGATAGTAAAGATTCATCCTTGTTTATCCTCATTTCACAATCATTTTATAACTATTGATATCGTATCGTCGTCCCCAGGCACCACCATCGACCAGCCCAAAAGTGAGTTCCCAGGTGTTGCCTGATCCCGTATCAGTACATTTAGCGGCAGTTTTGGTATCATTGGGGGAAAGCCCAGCAGAGGTAGGTGATGCTGACGTATTAGATCAACTTTTCTACGGCAGCGCATGTTTCTCAAAAGCTCATACACTGCCAGCAAATATTATTCATATTTTTTGTATTTTTTTTCTACTCATTTTGTATTTTTTTTGTAATATTTCGCGTTTTTCACCGAGTTTTACGCCGCCCCTTCACGTAAAACTCCAATGGTACTTTCCAGGTCCGTAAGAGGCTTTCAATAGCCCCGATGAGCAGTGCCTCCGGTGACAGACAAGATGGCTCCTCGTTGAAGGTATGTGATTTTGGAATTTCGTGGCGCAGTGAAGGTTCATTTTCAGAGCCCCTGTATCTGTCCAACGCCAGCTACGACGGCCACCAACTCACCGGGTGGGTTCATCAATAACATCATTGGAGAGCAGCGGAGCGAAGCTGAGAAGAGGGAAGTGGTAGTACTGGTATTACTGAGATCGTACTAGGAATACTTACTATATGTCCTACACTGAGCAACTGAGTGTACTAGTATATGGTACTACTAGTAATGGTTAATACTAGGCTGGGGGCGCCGCCTCGCAGACCCCGTAAACGGGATGCTCTGCTCCGCCCCTTATTGCATGAGTTTAAATATCTCATGTTATTGAGCGATGTGGCCGATAGTGTACTTACTACACACCAGCACGTAGGCGAACTAGTCCTTAATGAATGTATGGTAGCACTGTTATATGGTGCTATGTATTACGGAGTCTACGGTAGCTGTGATGTATGTATCAGCTTGGGTTGCCACCAGTGTGCGCTGAACTTGGTGATATATTGCGATTTAGTGACAGTCTGGGTTATTCAGGTATCCGTCCAATTGTTGGGAGAAGCGGAGATAAGTCCACAACATAGAACCGTTCTCAGGACGCAGAATGTGATAATGCAGCGTGTGGGAATCGAACCGGGGACCTCCCTAGTCCTCAGGGCTGTGGCGATGCAACAAGAGTGGTGTATACGCCTGATGAGGCTCTACAGCGCTCTCCGAGTTTGCCCGTCTGCACTCCTGACGTGTTGTTGAAGTATCAATCGCTCATACAGGTAATGGGGAAGGCCGGCCGGCCTAAAGGAGTTGATGTAGTTGTGAAGTGAAAGGCCGGCTCGGTGGGAATCATAGGAAAGAATATAGGATTGTTACTAATCGATAGTATACTGACCTAGAACTGAAGTACGAATTCAATTGCAATGTGGTAGAGGTTCCCGAACTCTATAAGACTATGTGGGAACGGTTTCGATGGAGCTGGAGGGAGTTGGTAATGTTAATTATGATAATGTAGCATTGATGTATACCTCCTGGTCGAAGGGCCCTGGGTCGGGTCTCGAATTGCAAGTTGTTTTGGGGTTATGTGTTGAAGTTCGCTTGCAAGACTGATCGGCTTTTTGGGAGAATCATTAGATTTATTGGAAGTTCTACGCGCACTCGGCATAGTGAAAGGTATCCGCGTTGCCTCCTCTCAGACGTGTCCTTCTCCGGCGGCGTTCTCGCCGGTGACGCTCTCCCCATTTGGAAGGGAAGTGGATGGACTGCAAATAAGGGTGGGGCGGCGGGAGAAATAACCCCGGCGGGACTTGAACCCGCAACCTTCGGCTCCGGAAACCGACGCGCTTCCATTGCGCCACGAGGTCGATGAATTGTTGCATTGCATCATCAGGTTGACTGTCGACATCGGAGCCTTTCCCGGCACGAAACTAGGGACACATTTGCCCGTGCCCCCTCTGCTGCTGATTACTATGATGGCGACGCTGGATTGGACGAGTCAGTGTCTGTGATTGACTTCGACCCGGACAACGATGAACCTCTCTCTGCTGAGGTATCTTTGGAGACTAACCTAAATCAGTGGTATGTTTGTTCTTTAGAAATGCGACGAAGTGCTTTCGGAAATCGTCAGCCAGACGGGATGCTCGATGGGTCACTCCCCGGCATCCACCCCTGGTGGGTCTCCTCGGACCTTGTTTGTATCTTACCAAGTAGAACCTTTGGATTCTCTTTCAGGTTCTGATTGGGATATCTCCGATTTTAATCCGCTTCTGGTTGAGAACCATGACAAGTCTTTGACTGTTTTCCTGCACAGCGGCATCACGGGAGAGCTCGTCGCAAAGTACATACTTCCAAATGAGCGCTGGTGACAGATCTAACTCTTCAGATTTGTGATAGAACTCGCTGACAAGGAGTCGATTGAGCAACTCTATACGGCGTTGGAAGAGTCTTTGCAACGAGAATGTGGCCTAAATTTATCCGAGACACATTGGGTGCGTGACAACAGGAAGATCAGATGCGATAAAAGAATGCTCATAGCGGCACTGGCATCCGTAAGAGTGGACCTATTCTGTATCTTCCGCTCTTGGACCTAAGATTCGTCATCTTAGTCGGGTCATTGTGAGCTCCGCCTGTGTACTGTTCCGAAGACCCCTCCGGCCGAGATGGACGTTTACATGTCTACAAATTCCGAGCGCATTCGGTTGAAGTCGCTCGCGCCTCACACTCTCTCGCCAGACCGCATAGCGACGCTTTACACCTGGTAAGTTCCATACTATGTTACCGAGTATGCTATCAGCCTGTCTGTTGTTTCTGCGTCAAAAGCAGCCATTTACGATAGTGGTATTTTTCCATGCTTTCTTGCGGAGGGGCGTGGGTTCGAATCCCACGTAGGTCTTGTCTTACCTCATCTCCTACGTAAATTTCTATTGTCCATGGTTGATGATTTTCACTCCAAGTCGCTCCGTGCGGTATATCTTTGTTGTTCCCGATTCAGTCCTCTTCGTCGACGGCTCGACTACTCTGTCGTATTGGTATCACAGATGGATTCGGGCAACTCATGTTGGCTGTCGGGGAAGGCCCTCTCTATTGATTATAAGGGAGGTGTCATTCAGTTCACTCTCACTGTGGCTCAAGTCAAGAGTTTGCTTAGACGAACTCAAGATGGGTAGGAGGAGGAGGAAAATAAACCATATCTTGCAATCTTGCATTTCCTCAACGTTATTCAGGTTGTTCGATATCTATTTGGTTGTCGACGGGTCCCTCCGTAGTGAGAATCGCCGTACGGTTGTGATTATTGAGAACTCTGGTGTCGTCCCAGAAGGCGGTGTTGATGACGGAGTTGATATGGAGAGTAGCTCGTGTGACTCCTCTGACGTTGCTTCCTGGGCTGAATTCGACCCGATACTGTAACCATCCTCATGTACATTATAAAACTCTTAATGTGACTTACGTAATTGCACTGCCATCGTCCAGTGAGACTGTATTGGCGACCTTCCGCATCCTACTACTACTACCAGCATGGTGCTCCGAGTAGGAGTATGCTTCTCAGTGTGCAGCTTTATCCCGCATCCAGAGTTGTTCTCGAGAGCGGCTATTATTGATCAACGGCTTGCTACAGGTATAACTGCGACAACCTCATCATTCGTCGTGTACCATGGTGTTTTTGATGTCGCATGCATTGTCGATTCACGCGAGGCTGCTGTGTCAGCTCGCTTCGTAGTTCTATCTTTTAGCTCAGTCGCATTCACTCCTTTTCCCCAAGACGCTTTCACGCGTATGTTGTATTTTTAGTCGGGAAGCAGGTCAAACGAAAGGATGTATAGAGAAAGCACCCTCGTCTCACTTTCCGGATTGGGTATTTCAATGGAATACTATCAGGACCGAGTCAAATAAGACTCCTGAGTGAAATTAGTTCACTGAAATGGCTAAGGACTGTCAGCAGCAATACAGTAAGCTATGCTGTCAGTTTGAAGGGCACCAGTTTGGGAGATGCTTGGCAAGTTGCCAAACATGTGGTTAGTGAACATGCTAACTGCATTATCAGTCTCACACTGGAGACTCAACCAGCAACAACAGTGGAGGACGAAATGAATAATGCGAGTCTGCTCCTCCGGGTCATGCAGAGCTGGATCTCCGAACGCGCCAATAAGCATGCTACACTTGGAGTGAGATACGACCTTGCAAACGTGAGATTAAATGATAGTGAATCAGAGACTAGTGGCAGAGACTTTTATCTACGTCAAGTAACTATCCTGAGCTATTCGTGTGACCGGTCATTCAGGAGTTGTTGACGTTTAGAGTTGTCCACTATTCAGTGACGGCTCAAAACGAAATGCTGGAAACTTCAACCATTTCTAGTATGTTTTGGTGAGGGTATAGGTATCAATGATTCAATGCAGAGTGGCTCTAGGTCAACCCAGGGAATTGGTTTTCTTCCCCTGTAATCGGCCTCCATCTTTCAGCACTTCAAGCCTACTTGTTGGAGAGGATGTAGTTGCTTAAGACAGCTATGATACAGTGAGATTCAGAATTTGCCAATAGCTTAGTCACTTGCCAACATTGATTGATGGGATCTTGGAGAATTTTTAAAATTCTCCGAGATCCCATCAGCAACTAAAATTCAATTTTAGTTGCTGAAACTCAGTAGGATCAGTCGACATGTTGGACTTCATCTTTGGTTGAGTTCACGTCCCTCTTACTGGAACGGATCTATTCACATCCGTGCCTCGGTTGCTCGATTAACAACAGTGTGATCGGCGTAAAATTAGCCTGATGTTATCGGGAATGTTGTAAAGAAGTGCACCTGTTGACAAATAGATTGCGATGATTACTGCAAAGTCGACACGGGTGGACAGACTGATGGATACGGAACAGAGTTGAGTGGAAAGGGAGATAATTCGTTTTCCGGCTTGCTGACAGTGCGGGAATACATGCACATGGTAAACTACATGTGTTGCTAGCAATATGGAAATTTTGAGGAAATTTTGCGAAATTATCGTTGATTTTTTAATACTTATACCCAAAATCGTGTGATTTTTCATAAAATAGTGAGGAAACCTACGAGCTCAGTTGAGGAAACCAAAAATATATTCCCATACTGCTTGCTGATGTTTCTAATCAGTCGACCTCTAATAACATCGTGGATCTGGTGCTACTCACCCAATCTACGGCGTACGGGCCGCGGGTTTCGGGGTTGGTCAGAGCTAACGTCTGATCCTTTCCCGACCGTGGCGTACGGGTCACAGGTTATTCGGGAAAGGATTACAGGCGATTCACTTTGTTCCGTGCTTCCCACTGTTCATTGACGGCACAAAGCGAGACGCTGGAGGACGTTTCATCCATGTGATATCGCGATCTGTGATATCAAAAAACCCATTAAAATGGTTGATCATGCGTCGTATAATAAACGACAACGATCGCATATCCATAGCAATAACAATGTCTACAAAGCCGAAAAAGCACCTCAGCGAGACTGCAGTGATACAGTAACGTGATATCAGCACCATGGACAATGCAGAAATAACTTACACGGTCAAAGCATAGTGTGGATAGTTCTAGCTGCCCACTGCTCCAGTCGCCAGTGGTATACCAATCGCCAATTAAGTATCTTCCTACCAACTTCAAAATCAGCTCCGGCCATGAATGACCAAAGATCCATCTTCACATTCCGGTCAGATGCATTAATATCGAAAGAGATTGTGGCATCGGTGAACTCATCCTCACCGGCGGCGACAATTCGGCCACCAGCTGAGATGCGCGCTCTAGCACCAGGCTTCGCGATGGCTTCAGTTGAGCCCTCGACTGTTAAGTTCTTACCAGCACCCCCCAACTGATGAGCCGTCAGAGTGGTTTTAGCTGTACTTCCCGCGTCCTCGAAACAGACATTCAGAGCCAAGCCGACCCCCTCGGCCGTTGTCACCTGCCAGAACGTTGCACAACCCGTCCCTGTAAGGTATGTGGTTTCGAGGCTTCTTTCAGGCTCCGACAGGAGTACATGGAGACGTACGGTACCAGCTGACCAGGGTGACTTTAGATCTTGCATGAGCATATCGACGAAAATATTGATTGTGTCAGGCTGCCTACCCACGTAAATGGCTAGACACACATTTGGCTTTTGCAATTGTGCGCTATTAGTTCGACACCCGGTAGGATACTCGAACTCATTAACCACGGAAAGGCGTCTCCCAGATCCAGGTTGGAAGAAGGCGTAAGAGCTACTCCCTGGGGGTATCGTATAGCAAGCAATGGGCCGCGGCGATCTCTTCTCAGCGGCTTCAGACTTACAATCGGTCGGTGTTTTCCGCTCGAAAAATTGTCGAGAGTCCTCAGAGATGACGTGAGTCACGGCCAAATGGGGATGGATAGGAGGGACTTTTTCAGGGTCGCCCGGGCCAGAGCTTTGAAATTTCACATCATAATCGTCATACACAGCCCTCATAGCCTGCACCACCGTCATCTCCTCAGCCAGATCAGCCCAAAAGGTAATAGTCGTCCGCTGTAAGACGGTATCATCGGAACCACCAACCCCTTCGATGCTGTTCAAAGTCGTGTTGGTCTCATCCAGATACAACTTCCATTTATTGGGCGCCACTTCAGCGGCTCCAAGTAGATCGAACTCCTGCTCTCCGCCACCACCCGTGGGTAGACCACCAGTAGAGACCCAGAGAGTCTGCTTCACAGCATTCTCCATAACAATACCTTTATATTCCCAGCCGTCATCTCTCAGATTTCTGTGCTCACCAAATGTTTGGATGGACTTCACTGGCTCATCCTCGATGACGTAGGACCCGTGACCGTAAATCTGCAGGATTCTCCTCTCAGTGGGAGTCGTGAAGTAAACAATATACTGATAGGGTCGACTTGGCCAAGACACGACAGATACCTGTCCATCCTTAACAACGTAAATGTCCTCAAGGATGGTCAAAGAACCATCGTCCATCAGCGGCAATACCATGTCAAAGGTCTCCATGGCCTGCGATCGTCCACAGCTTGTCTTACCACCATGTGGAGTCCTGAATGCTTTGTTGCAGTAAAAAACCGTCTTGGATTGAATACGGACGTTGGTAGCATTAAGCACAGTTGGCGGAGCAGGAGGAGTAGTAGTAGTGGTGGTAGTGGTAGTGGTAGTGGTGGTAGTAGTAGTAGTAGTAGTAGTGGTAGTAGTAGTGGTAGTAGTAGCCCTCGTAGATGTAGATTTCGCAGTTGTAGTTCTCGTAGTCGTGATAGTTGTAGTGCGCGGCGAAGAAACCCGTCCATTTGAATCGCAGAAGCAGCTCCCAATGACGACTATCAGAATCAGTAGAACTCGCATTTCCAACGAAAAGGTCGACTGCGACAGTTTGCCGATCCATTACCCACCTAAGAGCCGACCTCTGTCAGACTAGACTCCAGGGGCGCCTAGAGCTCGTTACATTGCTATAAACGACAACAGATTGAATAACAGCACAGTGCCTCCAGCACTAACAGCATGATTTTGAGATATTGTGGCGACTTCTGGAGCCAGCGTTACTACTTCTACTCATTGTGCGCGATTGCACGTATGTGCATAGCTAACCACATATCCCCCCGCGATTGCATATCCCCCCGCATATGCACGCCGCGCATATGCCTGTAGACAACTTACGCAGGTGCGACCTGCCTAAAGTAAAAGGGCTGAATATGGAATAGCTAAATTCAAACGAGCCGTGGGAATCAGCTGAAGAGATTGGTCTTAGAATGTTCGAATTCATGTGTTGATGCGGCGTGTCACACGCAGCGTGTGGCGCGCACAAAAGTATCGTCAGAGGCTCCGACTCAGAGCAGTTTCCCTGGGAATAGTAAGATTGGTTCGATGAATCGAGTTCCGACATCTTCGCCTATGAGTGGTACAGTAATGCATAGGCATGATGTGTTCCATGGTATATTCGTGATCCCCGCTCTGGTGTGAGGAATTTTTGGTGTTTGTATCGAACTGGTATGTTTCGTCGCACATGCTTCATTTACCTAGACTCTAGGTCCTAGAGCATGTATCTCATGTTGCCAGCATGATGTTGGAGATTCCAAGACTCCACCTTAGAATGTTGCAGATGGCGTTCGTTCAATATATGGCTCAAGTGTCATACTGACCGCGTTTGCAATGTGGAAAATGACGTGTGAGTTGGTAGTAGATGGGCAGTGAATCATAGTTGAAGCTCGCGATTCGAGTAGGGTATCCGATAAAATTTCTCGAAGGCGACTCACTTCATCCAGAAGTAGCAGAAGGCCCAATGCCCCCACGGTTAAGCAGTTTTCACTGCAACCCTAGGCCCGTCTGAATGATTCACCGTGAATCTGGTCCTTGGAGTGCGAAAATTCGGTGCTTCGAATGGAGACATAAACATGCACTGAGGTCACCTCCAACTCCTGTGGCTGAGATGGAGACTCGATCTGGCACTCTTGTAGCCGCTGCGCAGTAGTGAATTCAGTATGGATTCCTCTCATCCCGAAGCCTCAAGGAAGTTGCGTGCGGCGCCTATGCTACATATAGTTTTGAGATGGTCCGAGCCCTGCCATTGTCCAATAACCTCGCAGCGGTTATTCGGCAGCATGTGAAAATTATCTCTATCGCAAGTGACTACCTCTAGCGTGTTCGAAGCGCGAGTTCTTGAGCTCTATAGGGAAGGTAGCGAGACTCGTTATTCACTTCAGTTAATTGTTTATGTGATGATCCCTAGCTCATTTGCTTTGCACTTTGGCACCGACGCCCTTCGCCAGCGCGAATCGCCGCTGTACTTGAAAGTAACTACTCGAACTCAAGTCCGGAATGCTGAACAAACAATCGTTCGTGGCAAGCATGTGGTTAGTGAACATGCTAACTGCATTATCAGTCTCACACAGGAGACTCAACCAGCAACAACAGTGGACGACATAGTCCGATCTCTCACGTTTTCCAATATGACCGCAACCTGAAACCAAAGAATCGTGCCTGTGTCACCGTGAGAGCTTACTGTGCTGAGATGAATAATGCGAGTCTGCTCCTCCGGGTCGTGCAGAGCTGGATCCTTGAATGCGCCGATAAGCATGCCTACATTTCGAGTGAGATGTTAGGTGCTTTCACTCTGTCACCTCTAGCTGTCAAATTGAATCGTTCATAGTCTGTTGTCCGCGCCAACTCTAACCTGGAGAGAAATTTTGAACTTTCCTGGCTAGTGTTTCATCCGTTACATCTTTCCCAACAATCGTTGCTTTCCCTTGAGTTTCTTCAGTAGTATTGTTTTCACACATTCGGAATGGTCGACGAGCTCGAGTCCGCCACTGAGGAACTTCTCTGGGAGATGCAAAAGATTCTTCCCAACCGTCCTTGTGGATCGACGTCGCCGTGCACGCTGCGACGAAGTCGCTAACAAAGGCAATTACTGAACATTCGAGGTCACTGTACTCACGGACATGTCCCCGACGTTTCGGTGGCGAGTTGGACGCGCGACGACCAGTCAATACACTCGGATCTGAAGGAACGATCCTTGCTGGAAAAGCCGTGGAGAACATGTGTCATGCCCCGAGTGCTTAACGAATATTAGCCACTTTAGCTTAGTGGTAGAGCGTCTGCTTCGTAAGCAGAAGGTCGTCAGTTCAATCCTGGCAAGTGGCTTTTCAGCCATTACTTTTTCTGGGATGAGCTGACGTGTTCTTCTCCTCCCTCTTCCCTCCACCATCACGGACCCGAGAGTCATGCTTATCTACCTTGAGTGGCGGACTCTCCTCATCTTCTTCAAAGTCCGACGGATATCTGCTGATCAATCCCAACATGACATACCTCCCACAGCATGGCTCACTCGTCGTCACTATTGGCGCGGCGCTCAGCTTCTACTCTCAGCATCTCGGCTTTTGGCTTTGGCTTTTGGATGACTATCGACCGGTTTTTCAAACCATCCGCTGAGCTCCCCATCTTAATCGGAGGCAAACACACCTGAAACTTGCAGTGACACTCTAATTATAAGAATTGCCTTACCCGTTCGACGGGTCGGGGCTTCTCCTCAATCACAGGAGCATCAGTTCTCATGCTCCTACAGCTCCTCAACTGTTCTCGGGAGTCGTCCACTGCCACAGGCTCGTTCACGGATCCAATCAAAACCTGAACAAAGAAGAAGATTGTCGCGGCGCCCTGAAATTCCATCCTGCATGCCTGATCTTCATGAGGATTGGTGACTGGTGACGGCAAGATAGGCGGTAACTTGTGGTGCCTCTTCTCATAGTATCTACCAGCGCGTGATGGAAACAGATGGAAGTGACCAACATAAGATCAGTGTTAGATGGACACATGTTCGCTTTCCTCAGCTGAGCTGAGAAGCCCTCTCACTAGTCGTAGGAGTTCATATACGACTTAGGGTAGAAGCGTTCAGAAACCAATAAGAATCTCAAGAGTCTCACTTCATTTTTTCATATTGTCACCAACACATGCAGTTGACTATGTGCATATGCTCCCACACCGCATAGTATGAGGCCGCCTTTGACTCACCGCGTTTCTTCTTCCGGCATCGGCGAGAGCGCTCGCGCATTGCGACGTTGGAAGGGCCGACTCAGTGATTGCCGCGCAGCGCTGAGATATGGTGGGGAACTCTCCTTGAAACCCTAGCCGTGTGAAAGGAAGTCTCACTTAGTCAGGCCTCGTATTCGTGCCACAAATCCAGTCGGACGGTTCTGTAGAGCCGGCAACTTCACATTCTTATTCGACCGCACTTCAACTGACAAATAGACAGAAAACGTAGTAGTATGATCCCGATACGAATGGACACAGTCGGACCTGCCGTCCACTCACCTTCGGAGTCGCGTAGTTTATAGTCCAATTCCTTGCATTTGTCGAGTTCCTGATGCTGACCCTTAACACACCGCATCCTCTCCTCGTGGACTTACCCGTAGAACATATCCTCGCAGGAGCTGAGTATTCAAAATATCATCGCAACTTGGGCGTTTCTCGGATTCACGAGTCAGTAACATCCTCACCATTTCGCACTGCCAATAGAACCCATGCTATTCAGCGCGTGAGGCCGCTACTGCCATCGTACCGATTCGGCGGAGTATTTCGTCTTATCGGGATCGTCGAACTTAAGGTTGAGGATTCTCATGGCCAGATGCTGTATGTTCCTCCCATCGAAGGGATGTCTCAGAGTGAGCATCTCGTATAGGATCACACCTGAGCTGTTTTCCCGCGAGCAAACATCCAGGGTTATGAGGCTGATTTCAATGAGGAAGTTTCCTCGCTGGATATAGGAGTTCATATACTAATTCGGGTAGAAGTGTTCAGAAACAAATATTTCCCTTTAAAGTTTTATATTGTCACTGACACATTTAGTTGGCGGCCATGCGCATATTTTCCCCCTACACTGCGTAAGTTCATCAGAACGAGATGCATCGATGGCAATTTATCGTCATTGTTATACTGACTAGACTCACCCATCGACCAAATGTCAGACTTGAAGCCGTAGGGCTGTTCCATGATGATCTCTGGGCTGAGATAATAGGGCGTCCCGACCTGATCACAAGGAGCACAACGCTGCGACGACCGTTAGCGATGGGAACCACCAACCATGGTATGTGCGAGATCTCGTGTTTGCTCTAATACGCGGCTAATTCCAAAGTCTCCCAGTTTGACCGTCCGATGAATGCCATGCAGGAATACGTTCTGTGACTTGAGGTCTCTGACAAGCATGGATCGCTGCTTTAAAACCGCGACGCCGCCCTTACCTGTGAATGACTCGTTGTTGATGGACATGATCGAGCGCTAGGCAGAGCTGAGTGAACATCCTGAGGACCTCCTCTTCTGCCAATAGGCCTCTACGGCGCTTTAAAAAACTGACCGAGTGGTCGTAGGAAGCTGCCACAGTGAGCTCTCCTTACGTGTGCAAATCACCACAATCTGCGTAGCTCATAACTATACACATTTTCTGTCGGGGTGTTACGAAGACATCGTGGTAGGATATCTAAGGTCGATGCATGCATAGAGTGGGTAAGCGGAGCGAAGGTCATTTTTACAATGAAGGGATGATTCATCTTCTTCAACACCCAAGCTTCCTGAGACAACAGCGTTAGACCGCTGGTTCGATCCCGCCACCCGACATCCTCTCTCACCCTGAGCGCCTCCTTTCGTGGGTCTTTATCATCGGATATTTTGCTTCCATCAACATCCATTTGCTTGAGTACCTCACCACACATATGCCTCTGTACTCTTCATAACCGGCGGACTCACCCTGAGCTCCTTAGAGGGTGCGTGGAGCACTAGATAGACCTTCCCAAACGAGCCGTGACCGAGCGTGCCGATTTTCCTGTATGTCGCGTGTATGGCTTCCATCCCTTCGGCAGAGGGAGCTCCCATTGAGATGCGGCCCACTGGACCCGACCTCTGAGGAGGAGCGACTGTGAGGTATTCCTACTAGAGTGTCCGTTACTGCAGCTAGCCTTTTGCCGTGTTGTGAAATGGGAGGTAATTTCAATCGATCGCGTTCCGAAGACCTAGCCTGCCGACTTTCAGTCCTCATGGTCTTCGCCTTCCACTTCTTTACTTTATTGTTGCCCTCTATGACAGAATTGTAGTCTCAAACAGAGAAAAGTAATGTAACTACAAATGGTTTTCGCGGCCGGCCAGAAGATTTAATTTAGGGCGAGCGAGATTTTCCCTGTGCATACGTAGAAACTGTGCGTGCGTGCAATAACTGAAGTACTGTCGGCGTGTTCAATGCACCTCTCCTGAGCAATGAGAGCGCTTCCAGAATGAAGCTTAACATGTGTAATGCAATCCCAGAAGCGCTCTTGAAGCTCAAAAGAGGTCTATGGAACACACAGTGTGAGTATGAGACACTCTCTGAAGTTGAGAAAGCAAGATCTTGAACAGATTCTGCGTTCTGTCATGTGTTGCGAGATAGCGCCGATTTGACTATACCAGAATCATGCGAGGGCTCTCGTGAACGCGTCTATGAACGATTCTGAAATAACTCCAATGGTTTACTCACCCTTACCCCATGTTCATTGAATCCATTCTGGAACTCAGAATCGATTCTAGCATAGTATTATACGTGTGAGAGGCGATTTATTAGATTATTAGCGATTTATTTTTATCTATTATGAGTTTCGAAATCGGTTTATTGATCGACCTCTTAGACTACACCACGCTGAAGATTATTCTTGTATAGCAATCATCATTGAGATAAGAGGAGAACTTCCTTTGATGGGAAATTTTGTGCAGTATCATTGTCAAATTGACAATTCTGTTGACTTTCCAAGTCAAACCAGCCCTACGACACAGTATTGTGGTCGGTCTTGACTACCCATTTGCCAGACGGGAAAATCCGACTTCGATTGCACACTCTGAACATACTCAGAAACGATTCCAGAATCGCTTAGGAAATCATTCCCACTATCGGCTCTCTCATAACTCTCTCTCAGAGATAAGTCTTCGCGAAGTCAGCTCCGGTATCGATTATAATAGGTTTATCAAATACCCGGTGTGTACTGATCAGAATATTGGGGTCGTACAATAAACCGATTTCGAAACTCAGAATCGATTCTAGAATAGATTCTGAATTGTTTCAATGAACGTGGAGATTATAGGTTAGGAGTCAAAACTTGCACGCACGATCTTTGTGCATGCGTGCAAACTTCGCTCAACATCATCCTTACTGATGGCCTGGTTAATGTCCATGCTGTTGAGCAAAAGTGCTGTCATATTTATACAGTCCCCTAAGTGTACTCTCTTTTCTTATAGTATCCTACTTTACAATTAACGATGTTCTCAATAGTTAAAAACCTCTTCGGTCGTCCTACTGCGAGTAAAGTTGAGGAGGAGTCCTCCGATGACGACTCGGCCGGTGGCCATAGTATCGGACTGCCCTCATTCTCGTATCTTCATGGCAGGTTTTGAGAATCCCTCTAACCGCCAGGCCGTCACCGAGTGTGCCCTCGACTTGCTCAAGGGGGATTTCTTCGTTTTAGATGGTGGGGAGTGGACGAGCCTCGCCGATGGGGTAAGGCTTTGTATTGGTGTTATCAACACTGTAGGGTCCTTAGTTATGCAGCGTAACCTTTGATGAGGCCTTGAGGAAAATGTATGTCACGCAAGAGGAGGAAGGAGTGGAAGAAGTCTTCAATGTAGATGTTTGTGGTGATCAACATTGAAGTGTGTGCAACGATCTTAGGCACAGCAGATGGTCAACGTACAGCGTTATGACGATCCCGACGATGGCTACCCGTGCGTGCAGTGGATAGTAGCATCATCAGTGAGGCGAGGACATCAGCATTGTTACTATGGCAGGTGGTCACCAAGAGCGACAACATGAGCGAATGGGGCCTCAAATTCCGAAATGAAGAAGCAGTGAACGAATTCGTGAGGTAAGAAGCCCTCGGGCCTCACTCGACTGTTTGTGGTTGACTTGTGCTTTCAGGAAAGTAGAGATGCTAGGCCAGGCTGAGTCAACAATTGTGGTGCAAATCGATGGCTTGAGTATGATGGCTAGAGAGGGTAAATCGTGTGTGTGGGTGACGTCGCTGAGTGCCTGGAGTTTGCACGCATGCGCATCGATTTGGTAATCTGGTCAGGTCCGGGGGAATGGTCGTCGCTTGGGCATGACAACTCAGTGATGGTAATGGTCACTCAGAGGAAGGACTTTGAAGCTCATCTAGTCATATTCGACCGTAGCATAATCATTTTTGTGGCGCGCGAAAAGTTGGTCATTATTCTTAGAGGCCGATGATAGCCTACTCTACAGCGGTGCCATCACTGCTGGCCTCGGCTTCAAATATGAATGGCCGAAAATCATGTGAGTTATTTCAGTGCCGTTGGTTAGAGGTGTTGCTTCGCATCCGAAAGTCTCTGGTTCGAATCTTGGA